CACACACACACACACACACACACACACACACACAGAGTATTGATCTCCTTTAGCTTAATAAAGGTATCCCTCCCTCTGTACAGGTGACCCAACTTGCTTGATCATAGAGTCACCTGAGACTCCTATTTTCTAAAAATTGAAGATTGCCAAACTTTCCCTTTTATGGCTCTGATTCACCCCAGGTGATTTGAAATTGAGAACTAGCCTACATTTATAAAAGAGGAAATACATTAATCTAACAAATAAAGATTTCTGGTAAGTTACTTGGTTAAAAACTTGTTTTTTGTTTTGTTTTGTTCTTAGAAAAAATGCTTCGAATGCTTACAACTTAAAAGGCAAAATAATTACAGGTCATTCCGGGACACGCAGAGCAACACAGACTATGTAAACTACTTTCACACCCAAGGAAACCTAGGTTTTAAATATATGAGGTCAGAGAGATGGAAACTGAGAAAGTGTCACGGCCATGCCCTACCTAACATCTGTAAACTTGTCCCACCCCCCACCCCACCCCCGACCACGCAAACCCATCTATTCACTCCTGACAGAGAAGAAAGGAGAAAAGTCGTCCAGGTGCCACAGGAAAGCCATTCAGGAGGACATGGACCAGTGCCAAGCCCACCTGGATGGAAAATGAAATCCAGGCACACCCAGCCCGGGCACTTTCCTCCTGGGTTTAAACAAAAAAAGCCTTCCCGGTCCCAACGTGGGGACAGCCTCAGGCAGCAGTTGGGATGCCTGAGCCTGACCCTGCAGGGACAGCGCGAGGCTGTCCAGGTTCAGGGGCCGTGGGGTGGGCTGGAGCAGATGTGATCCTGGCCGAGCGCCCCGGACCCACGCTCGGGGCTTCAGTTCCCTCATTTGCAAAAAAAGGGGACCCTAGTGACCCCCAAGAGACCAAAGCAAGGAAGAAAGGAGGGGCCGGCTTTAAGGACGAGGGTGGCTGCCCCTATTGTCACTGCTGTCTCTACCAACGAGTCCAAGCGAGGCTCCAGGGTTCGGGCGCCGGACCCGCAGACTTTCTCAGGGGACCAACTCGCCAACCCCCACGGGGCCGGGAGACCTTTGTCCGCGCCGGGTCCCGCCGGCGCCCGCGGTCCGCGCCACCTTTCCCGCGGCGGGCGCCGGCGGGGCGGGGCGGGCGGGCGGAGCGCGGGCTCCCGGGCGGGCCCCGCCAACGGCTCCGCGGGGCTCGGACCCCGAGCGCCGCCGCAGCCTCCAGGGCTGCGGGCGAAGTCGCCGCGGCGCCCGAGCCCAGCCGCGCTCGCCCCGGGCACGCTCACCCTCGGCGCGGGACAGGGGGACGCGGCGCGCAGACCCCGGGCGCCCCTCGGCGCGCGGCAGGTGGAGGCGCCCGGCGGGAGGCTCCGGGTCCAGGTCACCGCTCCGCAGCCCCCTGCAGGCGCGCGCCAGGCGGCGCCGGCCCAAACCTCTTAAAGTCACAGGTGGCCAGATCCGCGTCCACCTGGGGCCCGGACTCTCCCTCTTGGCCCGTCCCCACTCCGGGGGAGACAGGCTCCCTCCTCCGGCCACCTGCTGTACCCCTGGGCCGTGACGGACTGCAAGTCTCAATGGTCCCCGCATCTTTTGCAACTTAATTCTGACCCAAGTCACCCTCCCGCGGCTCCTGAACGCAGGCTGGCGGGCGTGCAGGGGCTGCCACTGTGCGCAAAGTCTAAAGAGGGGTGTTCCCATCCCTGTGTATCCTGTAACCGCACCCCCTGCACGCACACACGCACACACACACACACACACACACACACACACACGGCGCCCCGGGGCGTGCGAGACTCGCTGCTGCTGGGAAACGCCCGAAGCAATCCCCTTGACCCTGCCCTGTAACTGACCCTTGGGGGAAAAAGCCCCCCGAACGGCTACTGCGCATGCTCTGAGCTGGACAGCTCCAGAGAGGGAAATTTAAAAACGGTTCGAGCTGCGACAGCGGCCAAATTGCGGAGCGCGAGGGGCGAGCGCGAGGGAGCCCCCTCCGGAACCCCGGCCGCCCCCCAGCGCCGGCAGCTGCGGCCCCGCGAGGATCGGCTCCAGGTACCGCCTTGCAGGGCCGGCTCTCGCCCTGCTCCTGGGCAGTGTCCCGCTTTGCGTTTCCAGGGTAGAGACCCCGGGCTCAGGGGCCGCAGGGCGTCCGCCGCTGGTCCCCCTTTCCGCTTCCCTGGACTYCCTCGGGGACTCTGGGGGCGGGACTGATCAGAACCTTTGGTGGGTTTCTGTGTYCGTTTCACGCTTGGAGTTTGAGGAACTTAGGGACCTGGAGGATTTTTCTTTTTGGGGCTGTGTTTGTGTTGCGTTGCGGGGGTGGAGAGAGAGTGGTGGCGGTCCTCAGGACGGGCATGTGGCGTGTCCGAAGGTATTTCCAGGACAGGGACCCTGCAGAATGATTTCCTTTGCAACAAGGGATTAGACTTCCCCCAGAAAAACACAGTGACACCTCAAGCTTCACCTTTATTTTTATTATTATTATTTTTAATTTTCAAAGTGATCATAACTGATTCAAGGTCAAAAATGGAAGACCTGGAAGGGAATCAAGTTCTTTTGACGACTGTTTTGAGAGTACAAGGTTCTTCCGAACCTTGACATTTGGATTATAGAGATGTCCCCCTGCCCTTCTCCCAATGAATTCCTAAGAACCTGTAATTTCATCTCCTCGCTTCTCTTTGCCTCTGAAATCTTGTAGGATTGCGCTGGGATTGTGACCTGTTTTGTGCAGGAATTCCCTGTTCTGTTGGTRGTTTAGAGCTCTGTCCTTCTGAATTGCAGGGAAATTGTGGGCAGCTGGGTCTCTGCCCTGTCCACGTCAGTCGTTGATGGGAGTGTTGTTTTCTGTTTGTCTTTTCCCCAAGGACATGATAGAAAGTGACATCTCATCCATAATGTCAGGACTCGTTCGAAACTCTGGGCAAAATCACCACCCTTCGCCACAGGAATACAGGTGAGGGCTTCAACAATAACCCGCCGTGTATTTTGGAGGACTTCAGGTGTTCTGGGCTGTTTGTGGTTTCTGAAACTGTTGCTTTGGTGCCGCGATTTTGCAGAAGAGCTTGAAGGTCTTGACTTCAGAGTTGGTYTCGGAAGGTGTCTGTCCTAGTGCAGTGGGACCCTGAAATGCCTGCAGTTTCTTGTCCCCTCCAAAAGAGGTCCCTCCTGGGTTAGGGACTGTTTGGCCATCCTGGTGACAACAGTGGCTCTTGCTTTCCCTCCAGGGCCCTAGCAGGGGCTCTAGGAAATGTACCTCCCTCAAAAGCATTCTGGGGGAAGTTGGCTTCTCTCCCTCTGGATGCTGGAAAGTTGTGGTCAGGACTCCCGGGTCCCAAGCCTGGTCGTGTGACTTTCAGCAAGCCCTTTAGCCTCTCTGGGCCTGATTCCCTCATCACGTAAATGATGCTGTTGAAGGAGGTGCTCTTAGGGTTCTCCTAGGTCTCCTGGGTCCCACGAGTCAGTTACATGGAAACCGAGGCCAGAGTGAATCTTGAGTCAGGATGAAGTAAGTTGAGGGGGTGGACGGAGGTCCTCAGAGCCCTCCCCCGTACTCTCCTAACCTCAGAGCTGGAAAGGCCCGCAGGGATCCAACCAGTCCAGTCGCCTTCTTTAACAGATGAGGAAACTGAGACCAAGAGGACAGAAGGGGCTTTTTCAAGGTCACACAGCCCCTGGGAGAGAGGAAGAGGAAAAGGAGGGACCTGCCCCTCCCAATCTCCCTTCCTTGAGCCGATATCGAGGAAGAGGGGCAGGATCAGGGCTGGCCCGGGAACAGCAGGCTGTCACCTCGGATCAGCCCTGTTTACCCAGGGGCAGCTTGGCCCTCCTGGGGACTCATGTTGCTGGGGCAGCCAGCAGCCCCCAATTAGAGGGAGGCTGCTTTCTGAGGGCCCCAGGCCGGAGGCTGCCTTCTAGGGACCAAATGAGGCCTCCAGTTCAGGCAGATGTCTGCAGAAAGCCTGCTGTGGGAGCAGCCGGGGCAGGTGCCCAGCGCTGGGACGGCCCACTGTCCAGGTGGGGAAGGCCGAAGCTCACAGAAATGAAGGGGCTTTTCCCAGGATCACATGACTGAGGACCCCTGGGCTTCCTTCCAGTGCTAACAGGGGGTACAGAATTACAGGGGTGGGGGTGTGCCTGGCTCTCCGGCCCCACTCTCCTGATCTGTAAAAGGGGGATGGGAATCCTCCCCAGGCCCCGGTGTGGTTGTGACAACTAAATCGCTGTTTCTGGCTCTGCTGCTGGTTCATTGCACGATCCTGGGCAATTTCGCCTTTGAACTTTCATTGGTTTGTGCCGGGGGGGTAAGCAGAATGGCCCCTGGAGGACTAGATGGGACATTGCTTAGGAAAGCGCCCAGCGCCCAGCAGGCACTGTGTGGACCTCTCTGCCTCCTGACAAAGCCTGGGAGAGGGCTGGTCCTCCCCCAGGGCTGGCCCTCCCCAGGGCCACAAGATGTGGCTTCTTACTCTTGCCTAGAAGAGCTTCCTGAGCGCCCCAGAGGTGGGGGGTCAGAGGGTCAGAGAGTCACCAGGATCAGACATGCGCTGCTCCAAGCGCAGCTTTGGAACAGGCCTCGTGGCTTCAGTGTCCTCCTCTTTCAAACGGGCACAGTTAAGCACATCCCTCGTTCAGTTGCCAGGAGGACTCAGTCAGTAAAGCAGGTAGAACAAGAACCCCAGAGCCGGGCAGGGCTGGGGCTCAGCAGTAGAGCGCTTGCCCAGCATGTGGAGGGCCTCATAAAAATAAATGCAATAAAGGTCCATTGGCCACTAACCCCCCCCAAACCAAGAAGAACCACAAACTAGCAGTCACTGTTACCTGTACCACTTAGTTACATGAAAGAGCCAGGTCTGCAGGGGACAGTTCTGTGAAGGGCCTTTGGGTGGGAAGTCGGGGCGGGTGGGGGCGGGGGGGAGGATCTCTGAATCCACGTTCCCAGGTGCTGCTCCAGGGCTTCCATCAGGCTCAGCCCCATGCTTCTGAGTATCTCCCCCAAATCAGGGCACAGCAGACAGCACACTTCCTGGGGCCTGGCAGTGTGCACCCCGCTCACTGGCCAGCGGGCAGAGGCAGGGTCCGGGAGAGGAGGGATGAGAAGCAGGCCCGTCCCCCATCAACCCTGAACCTAGGGGTGCCCAGGTGCCCCACCGGGCACGGCCTGTCCTTTTCGCAGGGTTTCAGGGTGGTTTTCCAAGGTACCCAGCAGGCAGATAAGCACGGCCAACACTAGGTGCCGCCTCCGTGTCTCCCATGAGCCTGTCCTTCCTGGGCCAGGTCTCAGCATCCATCCCAGCTAGACCCCACATCCCGTCCTATGAGGGCAGCTCTCTAGCACCTATTTGGTGGATGAGGAAACCAAGGCTCAGCCAGTTTAAACGCCTTAAGATGAGCTGCAGCAGGCGCGGTGGCGCACACCTGTCCTCCCAGCAGCTCAGGAGTCCAAAGCCAGCCTCAGCCAAAGCCAGGCACTAAGCAACTCAGTGAGGCTCTGTCTCTAAATAAAATAAAAAACAGGGCTGGGGATGGGGCTCAGCGGTGGAGTGCCCCTGGGTTCAATCCCCGGTACTGGCCCCCCACCCCCAAAATCGATGAGGCTTTACAGTGACAGGTCAAGTGGAGACTCGAATCTGAAACTGCCACACCTTCGGAACACTGTGCCCCCAACCCTGTGTCCTACTGATAAAAGCACAGCAGCTGGTCCAACAGAAGTGCTCCATGACCTCATTGCTGTGTGATACCGGGCAAGTCACTGCTCCTCTCTGAGCCTCAGTTTCTTCTTCTGTGAAATAGAACCAGTTCTCTGGTTGTGGGGAGGACCCGCAGCTGCCTGGGGCAAGGCATTCAGCTGGCCCCAGGACCCAGTGCTTTCTCATGGGGCGGGGGCTGATTATGCAGTGAGTCCCCGCTTCCAGCCACTCCCATTTTTCTCCCCAAATAATAGCCCTGGAGAAGTTTATGGGCTTCTCACTCGCTGGCCTGTGTCTCCAGAGAATGCCTGGGGACTACCCGGGCTGCTGGTCCAGCCGGTCCAGCCCCCAGGCAGCCCAGGCTCCACCGTCCCCTGGGGCCAGTTTGGCCGTTGGCTGTCAATGGCTGTGYGCAGGGAGGGCGGGGCCAGCAGCTGGGGGCGGAGCCCTCCCYGGGGAGCCGTCCGCAGCCTGGGCTCAGCGCAGTGGCCGCAGCCCTCCGCCCCACGGATACCGAGCAGGGACCAGGGCCTGGGGACAAGTGGGATCTAGCGAGCATCGCTGTGGCAGGCAGCTCCTGCTTCCCGGGGGTGAACAGCGTTCCTTCTTAGCTCAGGTGGAGAGAGGGAGGTCCACCCTGGAGGTCCTGGCACACAGTAGGTGCTTAGTGACCGTCTTCCCAGGAAAACCCTGAGACAGGCCCCCGCATGACCTGGGTTTCCAGACGTGGACACGGAGGCCCCCAGACATGACTTGGCCACACGTTTGGGGAGGGACAGAGCTACAGACACCCGTCACCTGCCCTCGACTTTGGAACTTATTCTAGAGTTCTGAGAAGTTCCTCTCGGGGACCGGCACTGAGCCGGGAGGGAAACTGAGGCCCGCTCTGGGATCCTTGAGCCCTCGGCTTCTCAGAGCCTGATCTACTTCCCCACCTCAACCCCTGCCCTAAGAATCAGAGTGACCTTGGGGAACGTCCTTCCCCTCTCTCATGGGGACCTCCTCACCTGTGAACTGCAGTGCTGGCGCATAGTAGATACTCATTTAATAGGTTTAATAGTCACTGGAGAAATGGAGGCACAGACCAGCATCGCACAAGAAATACCGTGTCCAGGGAAACGCAGAGGTTTCTGAGCCACGAGAAACCTCTTCCAGACCCTCCCCACCCACTGTGTGTGTGTGTGTGTGTGGGGTGGGGGTCAGGTTCCTATCAGGACGCCCCACCCACCAGTTGTAACCTGCAGGGGAGGGGCGTCTGCCGGGGGAGGGGCCGACCCAACATCTTTACATCCTCACCCTCAAGGTGGGTAGAAGGAGGTCTCAGCCACCCATGGACAAGGAGGTGGGAGCATTCCCGGGGTCCACCCCCTCTTTTGGGATCTTGCAATTTCATCCTCCAGAAACACATGCACGCACACTAGGTCCTAAGCCAGCTGTCTGTTCTGAAAAAAAGCTATCTGGTTGTGAAAGAGTCGGCTGTAAATGAGTGCATGGAACAGCATTCCAGACAGAGAGAATAGCATGTGCAAAGGCCTTAAGATGGATGAGAATTTAGAATATTTGAGGAACTCAGAGGAAGCAGGTTTGCTAGAGCAGAGTGGGAAGAAGATGGCCAAGGGCCAGACCATAGCAAAGAGGTCAATGTCTGCTCTCCTGATGGGTTTTAAAGAAAGTGGCAGGTTCAGAAAGTGGCAGACTGCTCTAGCTATTAGGGGTTAAATTCATCCCCTTTGCAAACATTTCTGCAGTGCCCTTCCAGAGCCACTGTCCCATGTAAACAATGCCTGTGGTTTACCTTGGAATCAACAGGCAGGCCCTATTCTCACCTCCAAGTGGCAGATGAAGACAGGGAGGTACTCAGGTGTTGAGTTACCTGCCCAAGGTCCCTCTCCCTCCAGTGCCCTGCTCTGCTGGTTTATCTTCCACCCCTCGGGCAACGTGACTGAATAATTAAGGACATGGTTCATTCAAGTGACTGGGTTGATCACCTGGTCAGCACAGGACAGCTGGACTCCAGTGGTACTTTGCGTCTCCCAGGGCCACCACAGTGTCCTGTGACCAGTGGCTTTGTCCCCATGGAGACACATGGCAGCCTGATCCTTTTTAACGAGGCTCGGCCCCTCCTGCCCCTGGCCTGGTTTATTCTGCACCAGTTGGAGCAGCCGCGAGAGAAGGGGCCCCAGGTGGGCATGGGCTGTCCGATGCCCAGGTCCTCCACCAACATGCTGGGGGACTGACACACGTCACCTCAACCCTGGGCCTCGGC